GGAACCTTAAGGTATCTAGCGTATAGCGCTATATTATAATATTATAATTAATATGAATTTAATGGTGTTTGTTCGAAAATTTATTTGACGAGATCTCGGTGAAGCTAATTTGATCTGATGATAAAATTAAAAAAAAAAAAAGTATAAAAGGAAGATTGAAGATCCACAAAAAGTAAAGAATTCATCTTAGTTATTGTATTTTCACCAACCGTTATTTGACCAGATTAGAATTGTTATGATAATTAATCCAGCTAAATTCTTCCTATTGGAAACTCAAAGATAGATTCTTCTTTTCAATAAGAACTTACCAGTTAGATCTGTGATGTTTTGATTATATGAATTCACATATAATTTATTGTCTTTACTTAAATCAGATTCAAAATTCAATTATAATCCATATATTATGATCCATGATTTTTAATCACAAAAGTGTTTTTAATATAATGATTATCTTATCTTTAATAGCTTTAATTGTAGAGTATCTTTAATCAATTGCTTTATATGGTATACCACATACCACCCACATCTTATCGTTATACATATATTAAACAAACTCTTTCATATAGATATAGCCATTGTTTCTTGATTGTTTATGTTATTTTATACAGCGGCTAATTCATAACATTCAATGATTCCATATTGAATTCAGATCGAAGTAAACCGAGGATTGGAAAAACTATATACATGAATCAAGTGTGATCTAATAGCTAGTTGCAACTATGAACTGGATGATATTATATTGTGAGATCATCATGATTGAACACTAGTATATAATTGTTATTCAATATTGTAGGTATTGAAATGTTCTTATATAATAATCAATTTTGTATAATTTTATCACGGCGGCTAATTTTAATTACACTGCGCTAGACGTATAATATATAAACCCATGGAATTCCGGCCTCTTTTCAAAATTATTCAGTACATTTCAAATTCATTTCAATGTTATAACTCAATTAATTCTTATATTGATTGTTACTGATTGAGAGCGCCTGGCTTTGTTCATAAAGCTGACGTATAGTTGGATAGCTGGTCTGAAGGAGGGTTGCCTTTTCACGGGAACTGGCGCTAGGTGAATTTTACCTTCCATTTTGTGGAATAAATTTGATATGATTCAAGGTAAGTAATAATAGTAAAACAAGAAGTTAATGAAAGTTCAATAAGAATTCATACCATGTTGGATTAAGATGACATGATATAATAAGACGTTCTTATTTTACATACTAGATTCATTTACACTTAAACAAGTTTGTTTGTTCATATGATTTTGAAATAATAGATTACATGATTAATACATAATTGGTTTAACCATTTTTCTCAATCTTGATCTATGCTGTAGCTGATTGTAATACTTCTGAATTAGTATATTCGTAAAATTCTTCTAACAAATTCTATTTTACAGAATCATGCATGAGGGGGAAATCACAAAAACATGAAAAATATAAAAGGTAAGAAGAATCCACATTTTGATCTATAGCGCTTAACATAATTGTTCAGAACTTTTTATATATATCATGATATTTGAAATTTTTGGATAAAAATTTTTCAGCGAGTTAATTTCTTCTGTTGTTAGCTGACTCTCTGCATGCAATATAATGTTATTAATTTTGTTTAGCTCTAGATCCACAAATAAAGTAATATTAGATTTACTTCATTTAGATATTTATATTTTCCTCTTCTTGATCGTTTATTATTACATATTCAGTTCATTGAATGATTGATATATTTAAATATACAGATTGTTGATTTATCACATCTATTCTTCTTAGTTAACCTTTTGAAGATGATTGATAATATTAATGATTGATTATGATAATTATAGTTATTCTGTAGATTTTCACTTTATAAACATATTCTTGTTCTGTAAATATTCAATTTGATCAATATCATAAATTATTTTAGATCTAAGAATGTAATCTAAATTAAATCAATCATTATAGATCTTCAAATATCTCAGCGGCTAATTAATTTTCAGTAATTCTAGTAATTCAGTACCTCCATTATCAAACTTGATTGATTCAATTTTATCTAGCCAAGATCTCAATTTGTTCCTTAAAATTCCAAGGGTGATTGGTGATAGGGGAGGTGGGGAATTTTATCAAATATAAAAACCATAGAAAAATCCGTTTTTCAATCAATTTATATAGTATCAACTTGAACTTTTCTTGAGATATGTTTACAAAAAGCTTACCCCAGTAATCTTTGGTGTGTTTACATAATGATCTAATGGTAGCTCGGCGCTCTTTTTCTGGATCCATATTCAATTATTTGGTATTTGGTGAGTATTAAGATAATATTGAGTCAATTTATTAGATATGGATTCAAAGGTCATTTGAAAGATTAATAGTTTAAGTGATTAGTTTATGATAATGTCTTTTTAATATATGTTGAAGGAAATCATTGTTTTATTTAAATTGTTTGAACAAGATGATTGATAAGACTTGATGATTTTGAAATAAAGTTCTTTTAATTGAAGTTGATGCTTATTGTAGAGTTAAAATGGTTATTGTAGAGTTGAATAGGATGACTCTTCATACTAGACTAGATCAATGGTTTAGTATATATGATGTAGATTGAAATATACTAATTTGTAAGAATCAAATTCTAGTGGACGTGCTGTTTATTAAGAATAATATTCGACGTTGTCAATATCATGCTAGGGGTGCGAAATAATTTTAAGCTTTTTGAAAAAAAAATTCAAAATTTAAGGATCATCTTAAATTATACAATTTATAAGACTACGAAAAGAGACATTATATCTTTTAAGAACTTTTTAAACATTCTGTTCCGAGTTTCAATCAATCCGTTAGCTCTAGGGTGTGTATACACTGACTGGTATGAATTTTGATACCTTATATGATTTGCTTAACCCTTGTTATACAATCTTTCAAAATGATTGATACATGAACAATTCAATTAAAACAAATCACTAATATACATCACATGAGAATCTTTTTGTTACTTCATTTTGGAAATATAGATGAGGCAAAATGGGTTTCTTTGTGTGTTTACATTTCTATGATTCTTCTAGTTCAAGTAGTTTCCAGTCGATGTAGTTCTTGTAGAATCATTACGCATACCTAATTACAGGCACAAATATTTGATTATGTACGCGAAAATTTCAGTATATAAAGGGGAGAAAGGATCCTGAAATTTCTTTCTTAGCTTAATTTTTGCAAACCATTATTAGTGAAAAAAAAAACAACATCTATGTGTTTTTTCATTAACAATTTTGTTCTTGGATTATCTGCCTGGGATTTCTTACAACTTTGGGTTGACAGCTAATATTGATTTGATCAAATTCATCTTTTAAGCCTTAAAGTTAATTTCTCAATACAGCTAATTGGTAAATATTTCGACCAGATGATTGGTATTTGAAATGTAATGATCATATGATTTAATAAGTCATTGATTCTACATCAATCAGATCCAACTCCATTATCCATATATAATTTAATGACTTGTTTAATCATAGAGTCAACAATAATATAATGATTAAATTTCATCTTTTTCATTAAATGTGTTCTTGTAAAGTTCTATATATTTGATCGAAGTCTTATACAGCATAATAATAGGCGCTAATTTCGTATCACATAACTCTTGTTCAACTTCTTGATCTCTGATAAAGTCTTTTATATAGCCATCAAGTCTTAAGCTAATTATCACAATCTTTCATTTTCCGTTAATTGTCTTGTAGAGTTGGATCGTTGATGATTTTTGTACTACGACTCGATATTATATGGTTCAATCTATGATGAAATCTTCCATGTACGTCAGGTTTTCAACTGATCAGTTCGATGTTTTATACAGCGGCTGATTTTTAAATTACTATATAAAAATGACAATAATTGCATGGTTTCAGATCAAAGTAATCGTTCAGATTAGAAGATTCACCTAGCTCTACGTGAACAAATGGGATAAGATATAATTGATAATACTAAGTATAATCATATGATTAATAATTGTTGATTGGCTATTATTAACTGATCTCTTTCGTTGTTACTTAATTTAGTGGAAATTTTGAGATTTTGTAACTTTATCACGGCGGCTAATTATTATTTTGATTATTATATAAACTCATGGAGTTCCCACTTTTTAATTATCTCTTCTATCATCTTTTGTTTGAATGTTATATATAACAACATGATGGATTCTTACAATTTATTTTGGTTTTTGAATACTATACAAGGCAGTATTTGTTGATCTGATTAACTGAATAGCTGATCATATCATGTTGGGTATCTAAATTTTAACTTATAATCATCTTGTGTTCCTGCAATTTGGTTTCTTCTATCTAAGTTTTTTCTTGCCATATTTTTGATTGAGTTCAAGATTCATGAATATTCGATATATTCAACTCAAGGTAAGTAATTATATAGTTCAATAAGAATGAAATTCAATAAGAATTCGTACATGATTAAATCATGAGATATTCTTATATACTAAATTCACATACACTCAATCAAATCAGCCTAATCATATTATTTTGAAATTATAGATTTTATGATTAATTATGATGATTGTTTTACTCTCTTTAACTTTGATACTTTGTAGCTTGATCTATTCGAATTTCGTACGTATGTATTTTATATTCGTAAAATTCTCCAGCATTCTATTACAGAAACATGCATAAAGGGGAATCTTGAAAACTATTATATAAAAAAAGTATCCACTCCTTTTTAAAACTACTTATATTACACAGCTATAATGAGAAGTTCAAGCGTCCAGGATTCAGTTGTTGTCATAAACAAATGAATCAAAATTTCATAGAGCTATCATTTGATCATTGAGTTGTTTTCAGGAGAAGAAATTTCTATAATCCAGTGACGAACAGATAATTGATTATTGAGTATAATGAATAAGTTATTAAATGAGAATCAAACTCTTTCAAAAAGTATAAAAAAGATCAATATATTGTCTAAGCTTGAATTTAATTTTCTTTATCATCTTTTTTCAAATACTACAAATAAATACAAATAACTATACAAACATTAAACAAAATGGGTATTACACTTGAACAATTATTGAAGCTTAACGATGAAGACGAATTCATAGCTGAAAAAGCTAGACAATATGAAGAATTAGCAAGAGAAGAACATAAGGCTAAGAATCCAACTTCAACTGTTATTATACAAAATTATGAACAATCTAATCAAGATCTTTGGCCAACTTTAGGTGGTGCTACTGCTGCTTCAAATGAAGATGCTTCAGATATTAAACATTCTAAACCAACTTGGTGTAGACCAACCAAGCCAAAACAACAACAACAAGAATCAAAGGAATCAGAAGAAACCTCAAAATCATAGAAATATGAAAGGTTTTAATACTGGTTTGGTGGTAATCAAGCTGATAATAAACTTTAAATATTGTGGATATTCTTTTGATGAAATCTTTTAAATTGATTACATGTTGCTTTCATACATTATCTATCAATTGTAGCACCGTATGCACCCCGTGATTCAACTTGATCAAATCTAATCTATATTTACTCTTTGTTTGATATTTTCCAATCAAGACATCAAGACCATGATGTTGGATCCCGAATCCTTCCACAAAATCAAGGGGAAATAGTGGGGGTCAATATAAAAACAAAGAAAAATCCTTTTTCCTTTCAAAATTTATATAAGTATGAACTTTTCTTTATTAACGTTGATCTTGTGGAAGACGGTGTGTAATTCTTCGCTATGGATATTGGTTGATCCTGTTCCGCTTGATTCAGGTCTATTATTTCTCGTTTGATATTAATTTCATCGTTTTGTATTTATTTCAATGTATTGGAGCTCAATAATCATGTTGGGTTTTGGTAAGTATCAAGGTAGTATCCAGTCAACTTAAACTAGGTGAATTTAAAAGTCATTTGAAAGATTAATAGTTTATGTGATTAGTTTATGATAATGTCTTCTTATAAATATATGTTGAAGGAAATCATTGTTTTATTTATATTGTTTGAAGAAGATGATTGATAAAACTTGATGATTTTGAAATAATTTTTTTCTTTACTCAAGATAAATGATGGTTGTAGAGTTCAGTATGATGATACTTTATACCAGAGAAGCGGCTTAGCAAATGATACGTATAATCTAGATTGCAAGATCTCTCTTTTGAAAGAGTTTAACTATATGTAATTCTGTACTGATGCACAGCTAGAAAAAAATCTAGTTAAAGTCGCGCGACCAAAAAAAAGTAAAAAAAATATAAAAGGGAGAAAAAATCCACAAAAAGTAAATGACTTCTTAGTTACTTTTATTAATCCAATTATGAAATATTGATTCCATTAGTGGTGAAGTAATAACCATTATGACAATCATTGTTAAACATTTTCTGTTTGTATATTTGTCAATAGATTAATCGTTCTCTTTGTATGAAATTATCAGGAAACACGGATGAGATGATGAGATATCTGTGATGTTTTGATTATATGAATTCATCATTTATTGTCTTTACATAAATCAGATTCAAAATTTAATAATCCATATATTATGATCCATGATTTTTAATCAAAAGCTAGTCTTTTTAATATAATGGTTATTTTAAGATCTAATTTAATAGTTTTATTGTAGAGTATCCTCAATCAATGGCTTAATATGGTATACTACCCACATCCTATCATTATACATATGTTATAATCAACAAAGTCTTATATACTCTATATAGCCACCACTTCTTATATTAATATGTTATATTTCATACAGCGGCTAACTTGTAACGTATTAAATAATTCCATGGATCATTCAGATCGAAGTAAATCGATTGTTGGAAAATTTAACTACATCTAATATTTAGTAGCTCACTGCATGTCATGCTATATTTGAATTCGTTAAAATCTCCAACAAATTTGTACATTCATGAATATTGATATGAGGCCGAAGAATCACAAAAACATACAAAAAATATAAAATGTAAGAAGAATTCACTTTTTGATCTATAGCGCTTAACATTTTTCAAAGCTTTGAAGTCAAATTTTATGTCGAATATCTTCTGAGGCAATTCTTTTTCTTTAATCAAATTAGAACTATGCTACTAGTTCTAATTATAAAACTTGATAACTACCATATATTATTGAATATATGAATTCATAATCAAGAGCTGGGTGAAATTACAGCTAATTACATATTCAGATCATTGAGTTATTGATATACTTGAATATACAGATAGTTAATTTATCAGATCTATTCTTCATTAGTTGAAGATGATTGATAATATCAAAGATTATTTTTTTGATGCATTAAATTTTGTAGACTCTGACTTCAGTATCTTCTTGTTTTGTAAGTATGCAATTTGAAACTGTTTTTGTGGTATACGATTAATTAAGATCTAGATCTAAGTCTAATTTCAAAGTTATCAATCATTAAATCTTCAAAGATCTCAGCGGATGTATGCTTTATTATTATTAACTCATTTATCTCCATAATATTTTAGCTTAAATTGAATATTGGAATCTTTTCTATATCTATTCTCTGTCTAATGTTTCTTATCCTGCTAATCATTTCAAATTTATGATCTAGCCAAGGTCCCGAAATCTCCCTTAAAATCAAAGAGTCAAAGATATAGGGGGCATATAAAACCATAGAAAAATCCGGATTTTTTCTCTCCATTAATATAACATAGTCTTAATTAGTAATTCCCTTTAGCTGTTTATTTTTTATGAATGTTGTGCCCTTCTACAGTGAACTAGTTAAGTTGGTATTTTTCTATAACTCTGATCATGTCGGTTTCTTCATTGATGTTTGCCATTGTTTTATTCAATAATATTATAAAATATTTGATTTTGAGGAACTAATGGTGCCAGTTTATTAAAAGTTTACTTCAATATTCTGGTATTTGGTAAGTATCAAGATAATATTCAGTCAATTTATTAGACGGATTTAGAAGTCATTTGAAAGATTGATAGTTACTGTGATTAGTTTATGATAATGCCTGTTTATAAATACACGTTGAAGGAAATCATTGTTTTAATTAAATTGTTTGAACAAGATGATTGATAAGACTTGATGATTTTGAAATTCTATTGTATTTTAACTTGAAGACGTTTAATTATGTAGATTTTCAGTTGTAATGGTAATACTTTATATCAGAATAAAGAAATGGTTTATTTCATGGTGTAGATTGAAGGAAACTGATTTTATTAATGTAACTCAATTAATTCAATTTTAAGAATTTTGATGTTGTTGAACATTGTTGAACATTGTTAGGAGGTGCGGAATTAGCAATTTTTTTAGAAACCCATGAAATGGATTTTGGTGAAGAGAACCGACAAAAGGCGGTCTGGGCCACACTATATACTACAAAGTTAGTGATAGCATATATAGGTGTGTATACTCCATGGTTAGGAAACCCATTCTTGTTAATCAAGAATATAACTATATAAAATATCTAGTGGGAAATTAACCCATTTATATATTTGATTTAATGAACGATCAACCAATGCATAGAATTTAATAGAAAAGTTAATTTTCTATTCGCGGTTTATTCATGTAATGTTTGAATTCTTAAAATTTTGAAAAAAAAAAAGATCCTAATTGATTATTAGTCTACAAACTAAACCAAGGTCCAATACATAAAGCCTGTTTGATTACAGTATTTTTCCTCTCATCAATCCCGTTAGTTCTGGGATGGTAGTTTGATGCTAAATGCTAAATGGATATTTTATTTATGAGATCTAGTATGATTTACAATCCATGTTATTCAATCTTTCCAATTGATTGATACATGATTTAGTTACAATTCAATTGATAGAAATCATCAATATACACATAACACATGAAAGGCTTTTTGTTACTTCATTTTGGGAATAATAAATGGGACAACGGGTTCTTTCATGTGTTTATATTTCTCTAATATTATAAGTTCAAGTAGTTTCCAATAGATGTATAGAATCATACTTACAACTTACAACAAACAGTACAACTTTAATTATTTACACGCGAAAAATAATTATAATCCAAAAGGAAGAAAGGATCCTTAATTTTTTTTTTGCTTTGTACTTAACATTCATTTCAAATTAGCTTATAATATCATTGTTGTAGCTTTTGAAACAAGTCCTTGTTGTTTGTCAAGTAATGATTATTGTCTAATTTGAATGGGGTGATCTAGTCTTTAATTATTGTTTCATAGAGCTGTTTGATGCTTTTATAGCCTGAGATGTATTGATCATATAAATTAATCATTTATTGTCTTTACATAAATCAGGCTCAAATCAATTTATCCATATATTATTCAATTACTATTTTTTCACTAGTTTGTTTGTTGATATATGGTTATTTCATCTTTTTCATTTATTTTTAGTAGTGACGAGTGTCCAGTTATATCAATTTGGTTAAAAACTTATACAATTCATATATATCATGGACACCAATTGTCTTAGATTGATTAGCACAATGTTTAATATAGTGGCTAATTCTAGAAAGTAGTATATATAATTAATCAAGAGTAATTCTTTGGCCTTTTGGTAAATTTAGAAGACCTCTACATAATGAATTCTTTGGGATTTATAGAAATAGTTAACTTATAGTGAACTGATTGATCTTATGTCCATTTTCCTGTATTGAAATTAATCGAACGTTGAACTCATAAACGCGTTTAAATTAATATAACGCGTGTGTAGATCTTGAAATCAATATATTTTATATTATCATGGCGGCTAATTTTATAATTTTATATAAACTCGTGAATTTTCCCTTCTTTTTCAAATTTAACAATCTCTATCCTTTTACTAATTAGATTGAACAGTTTGAACTGCAGTTTGATACTTACAACAGCTTTTTTCCAGAATTGTAAAAATGTTATGATCTTTTAAGAAAGTGTTTTATTGGTTTCCAGGTAATGATTTGAAGGATATGTTTCTGAAGAATTTTCCTTTTTAATTTATATCGATGATTGATCAATTCAGTAGGTAAGTTATAGCTCACCAATTAATTTGAATTATAGGTTCCATTATAAGAATTCATATACAGGTTGGATAATTGTTTTGATTATAATCAAATAATTACATATGAGATATAATCTTATATTATACTATAGGTTCATATACACGTTCAAACAATTGATATCAAGCTGATCATATGAAATTTTGAAAGAATAGATTCTATGATGAATTGATGTTGATGTTTTACATCTTTTAATTTTCAGGTTTTGTAGTTACCTATTGTCTCTTCGTAATATATCTAGTACATAAGTAGTTACTAGTAAGTTGTGTACTTTGTGTAACCAGCTCAATTAATTTGTAAAATTCTCCAACATTCCATTACAGAATCATACATTAAGGGGAAATCTTGCAAAAAAAAATTATATAAAAGGTAAGAAATTCTCCTTTCTAAAACTACTAATATCTAATTTTATACCTATTAATCATAGACTTTAGGTGCAAATGCCTGACATAATTTTTTATTTATCCTTATTAAGTTCCCAGGGTTGATATCACATACTCATATGATAACATTGGTCAATCAAAACTATGTGGTGAGTTTCAGTTTTAATATTGAACTAAAATAGCAGCTACAAGGTTGATTCCATCAATTTGAAATAAAAATCAAACAACAATTAAACAACACTCATTTTTGCAATATGAAAATGATTGATAATATTAATGCATGGATTGATTCTTTTGAAATTATTGTTATATTCTGTAGACTTTTGATTTTATCTTCTTGTGCCATGTTATAACTTATAACTATCTTACGTATTCTATATATACTAGTCTGATCTAAGTCAGATCTTCAAAGATCTCAACCGCTAATCAAGTCAGTAAAACTTTAGTATGTCTCCATAGTCCAATTTGATTTGATTCAAATCTTGTCTGTAATATCTATCTAGCTTTGTTTGATACTTCTTATAGATCAAGTTCATCTAGCCAAGATCCCGAATCCTTCCTTAAAATTTCCAAAATTTCAAGGGGTAATAGGGAGAAATATAAAGCCATAAAAAAATCCGTTCTTCTCTATTGAAATTTATATATTATTAACTACAAACTTTTTAATGGTGTTAATTTTCGTGCCTCATGATGTGACATGATAGTGGTAACTAGTCTTACAAGACCTTCAACATTTCTTGACTGTTTTGACTAAGTTTGGTATTTATTTTAGTGTATTTGAGCTCAGTAATCATGTTGGGTTTTGGTAAGTATCAAGCTGATAGTATCCAGTCAATTTAAATTAGATGGATTTAAAAGTCATTTGAAAGATTAATATATATGTTAATAGGTGATTAGTTTATGATGATGTCTTTTTAATATATGTGAAGGAAATCATTAGGTTTTATTTATATTGTTTGAAAAAGATGATTGATAAGACTTGATGATTTTGGAATAAAAAAGTTTCAATTGAAGTTTCTGATTATTGTAGATTTGAACGTAATAATACTTTATAACTAGGTTAAAGAATGTTTAGTAGATGATGTAAATTGAAGGCTATCTTGGAAGGATCAAATTACTTTTTTGATTGTTAGTCACATCAAGGGGTGCGAAATTTGAAAATTTTGGGTTCCTAAAATCATCAGACTACAAAAATTAAGATACATTAAACTAAATTTTGCAAGATACTCTTGAATGAACTATTAACACTTTCTATTTTGCCATTTGACTTAGGGTGGTACGCTGGACTGATGGATATAATCTAATTAGCTGTTATATGATTTACGATTCATGGTAGTCAGTCAATCTTTCAAGATTTAATCATATTATAGTTCAATTGATACAAATCATCAATATACATCACATAAGAATCCTTTTGTAACTTCATTTTGAAAATATAGATGAGACGATGGGTTATTTCATGTGTTTACATTTCTTCTTTATTGGTATGAGTGTTTAAGTAGTTTTCAATCGATGTAGTACTACTATAGAATTCTAAGCTTAGAGGGAAATGATCACAGTTACTTATTTCGCTCACATGAATACATCGTGTAATGAATTTTTATTAAGATTCTAATCTATATACTAAGTAATGGTAAAATGGAAAGCTCTTTGTAAATATCCAATAAACCCTTTATTTTCTAATAAATCATTGAATGATTTCCTTTCATCTTGTGTCAATTTTTTAGAGTCTTTCAATTGATGAAGCATTCTTCTAACTTTCCATTCCCTATATGGTATTAAGGCAATAAATCCACAAAAATATAAAACACCAACAAAGATTTGACAATGGAAATAAGGATTTCTATTTGGTGATGAGTAGTCACGTAAATTTAATCCAATCACTTCTGCAATTAAAGACATGATTGCATTTATTGTATTTGCATATCCCAACCCACTTGCAAATGAATTTAATCCAACCACATCAGCAACCAATGGAACGACATTAACTGAACTTATCCCAACTAATAAACCAATCATCAATGTGAATATTACTAAAGCAGCATAATTATTAACGTTTATCCAAAATGCAAGAGACATAACAGCAGTATAAAAAGTTGCAAACATTGTAAAATTGGTTCTTCCAAATTTCTCACTAAGATAACCAATCAATGGTCTTCCTATTGCTTGACTGGCATTAAGTAAAACTGTAATTATCATTCCTTGATGTCCAGAGAACCCCATACTTGTAGCATAATTTGAAAGACTATATAATAAGATACAATATCCAGTGGCACCTATACAAGACCAAAGTGTAGCCAAATGTAAAGGATACATTTTTAAAACATTCAAATCAAATATATTCTTGAAGATTTTTTTAATAGATAAATTTTCTTAATCTTTAAATTGACTATTTTGAGGTATTCTAATCTTAACTAGAAACATTGTAACAGTACAAATAACAAATGATATAATTCCAATTATCCTTAAAGCCCATTTTTGATCACCAGTTTCAATTATAAGTTTATTTATAATAAGTGTGAAAACAACACCTCCCAAACCAATTCCAAAATGAGATATACCATTAGCTAATGCACGTTTTCTTAGGAACCAAGATGGTAAAACAATTGAATTTGCACCAAATATTATTCCATAAGATATACCGATCAAAACACCTTGTGTAATATAAAACTGAACAAGAGTTGTAGCAAAACTAGCACCTAAATATCCAGCTAATTGGATCAATATACCTATAGATGCAGTGACTTTATATCCAAATTTTAATAATAAAATAGATGTATATGGAATTAATGCTAAAGTTAAAAAAGCTAAAATTCCACCAACCAATGCATAATCAGTTGGAGTAGCACCAGGGAATACATCATTTTCCAAATAAAAGGATAAAAAAATCCCAAACCCACAATTTACACCCCAAGTAGCAAAGTTCATTATAGTGACACATGCACAACAAAGCCAACCATATCCACCATCCGGTGGGATATCAATATAATCATTTTCATTGAAAACACCATTCAATTCTTCAACTTTTGACTTATCCACTGTTATTTCTTCAGGTTTGAGATCTTTCATGTAGAAATCGTTTTCTTCTAAATCAGTCTTTTTCTTGCCCATTATAAAGGTATATAACGAGTTTATATATATAGCTATCAAGAAACTAAAGCCATGAGATACTTTATACATTTCTTTGACCTTCTTTTAAGTAATTTATTCAAAATCGCATTAATGTCCAAAAAGGGAAATGCTCCGAAATACACGTACAATTCACTTCACAAATCAAAATAAAGCTAAAATTAGAAAGAGTTATAAACCATTTGAATCCATGTATTAGTCCTTACAATAGCCTTGAAATGAGATTCTTTTTCCCAATTCCAAGAACATTTCAATATGGTCAATTGGATTAGCAACGGCCGTGTTTTGACTGGTTTTTTAAAAAGTATGTAAACAGTGAACACACGAATTACGCGAAAAAATTAAAGTGTATAAAAGGGAGTAGGGATCTTGAAATTTTCTCTTCTTTGTTTGAACTTATCCAAACCATCATTCTCATAATTACAATTGCAATTTTTGTGTTTTTTTTGTGAAAATATCGCTATAGCTTTGTTGAGATAAGTGTTGGGTATTTTGCTTTTTTATCTTTGATTTTCAATTATAATATTTGAATATAATCAATTGTGTTTTTGCTCTTTCAATGAGTCTATACGTTTCTCAATTCTCAATGCATTTGATATTTGGAGTGTAACGATCATATAAATTCATCATTTATTGTTCTTAAATTGACTAGATCCAATACAATAATTCATATATAATTCAATGACTTGTTTTATCAAAGAGTTATTATTAATATAATGATTATTTCATTTTTGATGTTAGTGTTGTTGTAAAGTTATACATTTGATCAATTGCTCATGAGACCATTTCTCTAGATTACATTACACTTGATCAACTTCAATACGTATGACAAAATCCTGTATTCATATCACCACAAAACTATGATTCTTTCACCGGGGTTTAAAGCTTAAACGTCTGTATAGTTTAATTATCTCTCTACTGATCAAAGTTATATGACGTTATATGAAAATTCGTAAGATTTATGAAGTTAAACACAAAAACAAAAAAAAAATATTATTATATAAAAGGTGAGCGCTTAAAACTTTTTAATAAATTAACTTTAAGGAAGTCAAGCTGATACTGATTAAATTATTTTCTTGCAATTTTTCTTAACGGCCACTAGTGTATTGATCTATTAAAAATTAGAAATTCGTTACTAACCAGCAAAAGTATCTTTCCCGAATGTGGGTGGTTTACTCCATTTTGTTTTCATATATATTCATTTGATCTTGATCGTTCTATACACTTATACATTCAGATCATTGAATAATTGATATACTTAAATATACAGATTGTTAGTTTATCACATCTATTCTTCAAGGATTTTCTTATGGAGATGATTGATAATATTATAATGATTGATTTTTTAATGAGAACTATTACTTTGTAGACTTAATGACTTCAACTTCTTCTTAGTGTAAGTATACAATCTGGAACTCTCTTTGTGGTATATAGGATTAATATCTAGATTTAAGTCTAATTTCAAAGCTATCAATCATTAAATCTTCAAAGATATCAGCGGATGTATGCTTTAGTCATTTCAACTCATTAGTATATTTTCTTAATCCAAATTGATTTAATTCAAATATGATCTAGATCTATTCTCTGTTTAATGTTTCTTATCCAGAGCATTAAAATTTATGATCTAGCCAAGATCCCGAATCCTTCCTTAAAATCAAGGAGTCAAAAATATAGGGGGCATATAAAAATCATAGAAAAATCCTTTTTTCTCTCCTTTTATAAACATTCAATAGTAATTTCCTTTAGTTGTTGACCGCAATTTAAAATAGTATATGCTTTGGAGGATATAAAATTTGAGCTGAAGTTTTTCTTTTAGTGTTATCTTTTCCATAGTCCAGTGAATTTGAAATATATTTGGATTGCTGCAGGCCAGTTTATTAAAAGTTTACTTCAATATTCTGGTATTTGGTAAGTATTAAGATAACATTCATTCAATTTATATTAGATGGATTTAAAGGTCATTTAAAAGATTAATAGTTTAGGTGATTAGTTTATGATAATGTCTTTTTAATATATGTTGAAGGAAATCATTGGTTTATTTATATTGTTTGAGCAAGATGATTGATAAAACTTGATGATTTTGAAGACTTTATATTGTTCTACTTGAACTGTTGATCATGATTGTAAATTGTAATTATCCAAAATATGTGAAATGAAATGATATAAAATCATCCTTTGTCGAATTAAATTCATGAAGCCAGGTGTGAACTATTTGGAACGACGTATAACGCGGTTTTTGAAAAAAAAAAATTCGAAATTAAAGAATCAGTTATATTACCATGCACTACGTTAGAAACCGATAGATATGAATGGCAGATTTTATATATTCTTGAAATGGTAGTATTCTTCTTCTACATTGAGTTTTCGATGGGATAATGTGACCAGCTACTAGTTTCCAACCATTTATATGACTCACTATACATGTTATTCAATCTTTCAAAATAATTGATACATGAACAATTCAATTGATACAAATCATTTAATACACACAACACATGAGAATCTTGTTGTTACTTCATTTTGGAAATATAGATGGGTCAAATGGGGTCTTTTGTGTGTTTACGTTTTTCTAATATTAATCAGTTCAAGTAGTTTAACTCTCAATCGACAGTTCAATTGGTACTTTTATTGAAGTTATTATTATAAAGTCTTGAAATGGAAGTTTATAAAATAAGTTTAAAGGGGAAATGACCACAGCGGCTAATTTTGATAATTACTATAAATACAAATCAAAATCTCAAAATCTTCTTTCTTATTGATATCTTTTTATACCACATTGTGCAAATCCAGTTTTACCTGTTATAATTAACTAGTAAACACATCATTATCGTAGGTGGTATGACCAGTTCCAATTGTTCATCGTGGTACTCAGAACAGAATATATTCAAGTAAATGGAAATTAATATAGTTCAATTACTATTTAGTTAATTATATATTAAAGATCCTATATACACGTTCAAATGATCAATATTATCATATTTCTCTAACCATGAAAGGTATTTGAGTTTTGATAATTAGCATGATCTTGATTTTCATTCCAGTTTATTTCCATCATAGTAGTACAAACATGATATCTCGATTGTAATTTATGATGTTTGAATAATATATGAATGACAATTACACTTTGCGGCGGTAAATTCAGATGAAGGTAATTCCAGGTTTTAGAACGTCATACTCTACAATATGAATCAATTGAGGTCTAATTGATCGTACAATAATACTGCAAGTGTAAGATATATTTCTAATTGACTTGTTTATGATTGATTGATCGATTATATGAATTACTTAATAGCTTGTAGATCTTGAAATGTTTAATTTTGTGTAATTAATTGTGATTTGATCCCAGCGGCTAATTTTTTGATGAATATAAAAACTCCTGTAATTCCCACTTTTTTAAAAAGTTTTCTATAATCATCTTATATTTCAATGTTCTTAAAGCTTCTATGAGATCTAGCATCGTGATAAACAGAATATCGACCATCAGCTCTATCACTGGATTAACGGTACTCGTTTTCAAGCTTTGTATCTTCGGTTTTTGAGTATAACCACTAATTTTTTTGACATTTTTTTCACTATTTGATATAATAATTCAATTGGTAAGTACTTATAGCCCATCGAAAAAAGTTAACAAAAGTTTAATAAGAATCCATACATGATTATTCTTATATACTATTCATACACACTTGAACAAATCAGTTCGATCATATGATCCTGAAATTAATAGATTCTATGATTAATGAATGATTGTTTGCCCTTTCTGTCTATCTATATTATGTAGTATCTTATTGATCTCCTTTCAATTAGCGCTGTATCAAATTAAAATTTATCATTTGAACCTTATATTCGTAAAATTCTCCAACATTCCATCACAGAACTATACATCAAGGGGAAATTTTGAAATTAATTATTATATAAAAGGTGAGGAAATTCCACAATTTTTTCTAAAACTAGTAACTATACTTATAACTCAAGTTATAAGAATTTTTTCTCTTTTTTATAGATGTTTGTGGTGAAATTTTCCTCCTTTGTCATGTTGGGTTGACGGTTCAGCTCATCAGATTCAGCTTCAATCTGGTTCTTCACATTTATATTGATAACTGCTTTGAATAGTTTTGGACCATTTATAATTGATTCTAACTTGAACTACAATTTGTTTGATTTATCAATTCAATATATCATTGTATTTATGATTATTTCTGATTGATAAACTTAATATATAATAGATATTTGTTAATTTAGATCACATCTATTCTTCAAATTAATTTGAAGATGATTGATATAATATTAATGATTAGTTCTTTTAAAAGATTGTTATTCTGTAGACTTTGATCCATATGTAACTTATATATAAATGAAATTGAGATCTAGATCTAAGTCTAAACTGGATGATCAATCATTAGATCTTTAAAGATACCAGAACCATAAGTCTGTTTACGCTTTATATGTCTTTCTAATCCAACTTGTTTCAATTCAGATCTAATCTGTTCATATCTTTTGTTTGATCCTTTGTCAATTTTATCTAATCAATATCCCGATTCCCTCCTTAAAATCAAGGGGAATTTTATTAGGGGCATAGAATAATTCTTTTTTTTTCTCAAGTATCAACTACAAACTATTTATCGATGGTGTTGCTGCCCTTTCTAGTTGATGATCCTGTGATGTGACGTCTTCAGTAGAAGGTGATGAAAATGAGATTTCACAGTACTTCTTACATTCTGGTTATTATTGGTCATTATTTGATCGTGTGAAATTTATCCCAGGGTGAGTATCAAGATAATATCCATTCAGTTGATAAGATATGGATTTGAAATACATTTGAAAGATTAATATTTGAAGTGATTAGTTTATGAGAATGTCTTTTTATGAATATATGTGAAGGCAATCATTGTTTTATTTCATATTGTTTGTGAAAGATGATTGATAAGACTTGATGATTTTGAAATATAGGTTTTCTTACTTGAGGATAATGGTTATTGTAGATG